TCCAGTTAGGTTGAATTTTTTACTTTGTACCTTTTTCTTTACTATCCCTTTATTTTCTATTTTCTTTTTATCCTTTTTCTTATTTCATTTTTGATACTTAACCTTTCTTTTAGTTTTTTCATTGTCATTTTCTTTCCACCATTTTACTTTTCTCTTCTTTTTTTCTCTCCGTCAGTTTTGTTATTTCTTGTTTTGTATTTTCTTGTTTTTTTTCAATATTTAAAATATCGTTTTTCTTTCATGTCTTCTTTTTCTTGCATAATAATGTTAAGATGGGGCAGTACCGAGAGTGATTTATACACCATCAAAAGAATTTTAAAAAGAATCCGCTTCTTGATAGGAAGCCAGTGGAGCTCATTTAGAATTGGTGTAATATGAGCATACTTGTATATGTGTATGTATTGTATATACTGAGGACATTATTTAATGGCACAGATTGGTGACAACTAGATTATTCATGTAATGTTGCTTGGTAAAATAGTTAAACACATTGATTGCCAGACCCTTTTTTAAGGTTCCTTCCCGTGTGGCAAAACAAGTTTACGTGTACAAACATACTTTTTTGAAATTTTATCTAGTCATATTGCATCCTCAGAATAATGTGTATAATAAATTTGCAGGAAAAATATTGGGGGTGGGGGGGGGGTTGTGGGTAACTCATCATGGCACTGTGATAGCACTTTTTATCGACTATGCCAAGTGCGAATTGTATGGGTTGGTATATGTTCAAAGGGCACCCCCACTTGTGCCACTCCAGTGTACTACCGGCAAAATGACACATCAAACATACATACGTCATGTACATTATCGTCTAGGTGTATCTTCCACGAACTAGCAACCCTTAAGTCTGTGCTTCGACAATGTATAACAGAGAATTTATAAACGCTAGAGTGTTTACCCGATTGTGAAGAGTAAAGTTGTTCCTGACGCCCTCAGCAACACCCGGTGGGCCAGTATACTGGTTGCTTCGGCCAACATGTTAAAATTCAATTTTTGATGTATTGTAAAATAAAATAAAAAGATAAACATTTCTTTGTGTACTATATAATATTGGTCAAGCTGTTATATTCATCATAATGGTGTTGTAACTAATTTAATCTTGTCCAAATTATGAATGAAACACTGACTGAAAAACCATGATCATGCAACATATTACGTCTTTTAATTGTTAGTTTACTGGCCTCTTAACTTGTTACAGTACATCATTTGTGAATTTATAAGGACAATTATTAGTGTCTAATCTTGTGCCTTTTTATATTATTTGACTTGTGCTGCTATAAATTATTTTACTGATGTTTTTTAACTTAATTCTTAGCATTAAAATGCTTTTTTTTAAGTCCTATATTTTTCTGTACTGCTTTTTTAAATTTTAATTTTTTTTGTAGGATGTTAGTCTTTATGGCCTCAGGGAATATAAGATGTAATTTGAGGACTGAACAGAAATACTGTATATTTTTCTCCTAAATATTTGAATAGTTTCATCTGGTTTGGTTTATATTGTTGTAGTAACTGTTTTCATCAGAAAAGAATGTCTTGCATTGTTCTTATTGTACGTTGTTATTATCATCATCTGAGCAATTTTGTGTGTTGTGTATGTTATTGGATTATTATTCCATGTAATTTGAGTTTGCAAAAAATAAATTTCAGTAATCTACAATAATTGATCGACAATCAAAAATTTATGTCAAAAGCATCGCCAAAAAAAAAATCAGGTGGCTAATTTCCTGGTTCGAAAAGGGCCACTATTCACTAGTCATAATGAAGAAAGTGTTCGCTACTCATAATATATTATAAGGACGAATGTTCATTAAGTTTGTTATTCATCAACATTGCTGCTTTATTAATCGTGCAAGCAACTTTTATGTATAGTAATTAGCTTTTATTGTGTCTATGCCTCAACATTCATAATAAACCCTTTATCAGGTTAGTGATGTGTAATACATCTTTATACCATCTTATAATAACGTTGCATACATTTTTTAAACACTCATAGCATTTTCATTTTTTGCATACCCATATACTGGCAAACAAAATAAGGAAATCATTAGAACACAAAATTAACACTACAGTATTCAAAATATATATAGAAAAAAAGTTGCTTTGCCCTTCAAAATAGTTTCTGTAGGGTTCCAATTAGAGAGATATCTAGAGTTCTACTCTAGTATTATATTCGTTGGTGGTTTCAATACGTTTCTTTTTAACAGAACAGAATTTATCCTACTCAACTAGGCTTTCGAAATCTTAATCTATTTCCTTGGTTTTCAAAATTAATTATAGCACAAGGTTACTATTAAAAGCAGTGAAATTTGAACTAAGACAAGTTGAATAGGAAATTTTGAAAATGCCCCCCTCCCCACTTTTTGGCAGAAAATATATAATGTCTATGCAGATTTTGTGTGATCGGAAAGGAATGCTAGTGGCCCCACTGAGTCGCTTCTAGAACGAGAGATTTTTGTGTATTCAGCCAAAAAATATCTATACACAATGGACATGAGATCACCGTTCTAATTTTTTTGCCTCTTGCAATACACAGCAGACAACCTTTTTTTTTTACCAGGAATTTGAAATAAAGGGGGTGGGGGTGGGGCCACAGAGAGGGGATTTTAGAGATGGAGAGTTAGACAACCACAACCTAATGGTTGGGGCTGAGGTTTGAAATGTTATGCCTATGATGTCTCAAGGTGGCCGGAACTTGTACTTTTAAACTTAAAGTTGAATGCAATTCTCTTTTTTTTTTTTTTTTCTTATTTTCTTTTAATTATTTTATATATAAATTTTGGAGGGGAAAAGGTGCAGGCCAGTGTTGTATCTTTTTCATTTATGTGATCTTCAATTAACTTTTGCTAGAACAATAGATGCTATAAATCTTGTGCCTAAATTGGAATTATTTTAGGCAGATGCAAAAACACCCCTATTTTAAATAAATGGTATTGCTCGTTTTTTTTTTGTTTTTTTTTTTGCATTAATAGCAGTAAATTTTAAAATTTAAATGTAATTACTCTATTCTCTATCCAAGTGCTGAGGAATGCCACTATATTTCAGGGTAAACATTATAAAAAATGTGTTTAATTGTTAAAATCTTAAAATAATAATTTTGAAAATTTCAATATCATACAGTATAAGTTTTGATTATATGATTTGATAAAAATTTGAACTCAATGCAGTTTTTGTTTACCTATCTTAGAATTTTGATAACCATATTCTGATAACACAGCTTTAACAAGATTGCATTGCCCAAAGTTTATTGTTCATTTTTCACTTATATTAGATCCAATTAACATGGTTTTGCAAGAACAAATCATTTAAGGTGTTCCAATGTTATACCCCTCCAAACTTTGGCCTAAATTGAAATTTTCAAAATATGCAGAAACACCCCTTTTTCTAATAATAGTATGGTCCATTTTTGCCACCCATCCGCATTTTTATGTTTTTTGTTTGTAAAGATGTCTTCAGTTTATATAATGGTCAGGTAAATTTTTCTCATTCTTATTTACAGTAAATAGGCCTAGTATGTGTGTACTCATATACACTGAAAAAATTTAGTTAGTAGTTGCATACAAATTCTTTTTTTCAGGAATTGATTTGGGGTTGTGGGTGGTGTAAAGACTCCTGACTCCGCCCCCTCCCCTCAGATCTGCCAATGAAAAAACTTCGTAAATTGCAAGGAAAAGCGATTTACATACAACAAGTACTAAAGCCCCTATCGCACTGGACTTAATTTGGTCAAATTAACCGAGTCACTGACTAAATTGACCAAAAAAAATACAATCCGAACGTCGGTTATAATTTTCTCAGGGTTAAATTAACCAAGCCGAATGGTTAATTTTACCGACCACGCTGATCAAGAAGTCCAATCCGAACGTGCAACACGGTTAAAACTTCTTCCATGTTGACACTCGAACAGAACCGGAAGTTGAAGTCACAAACTAGCGCCCTCAATAATATTTTTTTATACACAAGGCAAGACACAAGGTTAAATCTTGGTAAAACCAAAACCAGAGGTATTATTGAGAAGGAGATCACTCGAAAAAGCTACGCGCAGGCAGCGCTATGCAAATGAACCAAGATCAAAGCTGCCGCAGCGCGTGAAGAACGTTTGCGCAATGCCTTTGAAGTCCCATGTGTTCCCCGCCATCAAATTTTCAGCAGGTATAGTTTATCAAAAAATTGAGCATAGCGAAATGGAGAGCACCTTCTTTTCTCGATGCGCACTACATACAGTCAATCACTATGGCTGCGCAATCGTTTACATTGTGAAGCTGATACATTTATCTCTCATAAAATATCAAACATATTAATATTTTCCACCAAAAAAAGTTTTGAATTTAATGGAACATTTACGTGACCTTCCTTTAAAAGTATAGTATATTGGCCAAAATTCGCTAATTCTAATTTTAACAGATATTAATTATTAAATGATTGAGGATTATAATAAACTAAGTCATTTTAGAGTTAACGAGGGTTAACTATTCGAAAAATCAATCTAAAATCTGAGTATTTTTCAGTTTTACGCTGACTTAGCCTTATAGTCGAACCAATCGATCTTTAGACAAAATTATAATGAACACAGAAGTAATTTTAAAAATAAATATTTTACGGAATCCGTTCCTGAAATATACAAATAATAACATACCAAAAATCCGAAAAAATCTAATCAGGGGAACTGTTCATTATAAAGATATTTAATGGGTTAAAATGAAACGCTTTATTGCACAACTGTTCTGCTGGAAGCGTATAAATGCATGTTGTTGCCAAGTTGTTGCTAACGAAAAAATTAACAGCAACAAGTACCAAGGAGTACACACACTCGTCGTTCGTTGACGAATCGGTGGAATCCCAATCAAATCAATGAAATCTCGTGTGTTGTATTTGTGTGTTCCCAAATGGGCGGAGCTAAAGAAGTGGAGATTCATTGGTCCTTCTCAATAATACCTCAAATAGAACTAAATTTAATAACTTGTGATGGCCATATATATTATAATAGCCCTACTAAGACTACTAGGACTACCTAAAATGTCACCGGATGTGACAGTAAAACAGTTTCAATGGATTGTATTTAACAGTTTTTTATTCTTAAATATATTTGTAAAATATCATGCGATATTCTTTCTAAGATTGAATTATTTTCGAGAGCTCTGAGCTGTCCGGCGTCTGTTCATTTAATGTCCTCCTTCGACTACCAGTCTGCGCTTCAGAACTCTGCCGCCAGCACAGATTTGTGATAAGGTGGTTGCTATTGTGTCGGTGTGTTGTAGTATAGTTATGGATACCATGATCTACAACTAATTTTATCCTTAGTTTCTGTGGAGACGATTCACAAGAAATAGTTGGCTTTACATGAGGATCGTAAGAGTGGAGTTAAATAGCTCAGTGGTTAATATGCTTGCCTTCTGATCCCAGGATCTTGTGTTCAATCCCTGCCACAGCAGGAAATTTCTCACGACGAAAAACAACCCCACACCTTAAGCCTCGTATACAGCATCATTCTCATTAAGTGGCGAGTGCACATGTTGCTGGATGTGAAGGAAAAAAAAGTTCCAGGGACATGGTATTATGTGGACGCTTGTACTGACCAGTGTGAATTTATGCAATAATGTATAGAAGCACCTAAGTGCCATTCGACTTGACGACTTGTCAAGATAATTATGTTGTCAAGTCGACATAATATACATATCATGTTGACATGAAGAAGAAAAATGATTTGACGGAAGTTAATCATGAATACGCTCACGAATATTTGTGGATATATTACCAATGAAATTAAACTGTACCGTTAGAAGTCTTGGATAATCAAGAGAAATTTTGCAACTGCGCTTACGAAATCGTTTGCTTGTAGCTACAGTAGCCCGTTTTCGAATACCTGTTTTACAGTGTGCTGCGTTTGACGTCCTTTGAGGGAAAACCCCTTTAACTCTCGTGAGGGCGTAAACCAGAAAAAGATCGTTATGAAAAATTATTCCTATCGAGATCAACATAAGCACTACCATAAGATTTCAGGTATGTTTCTTTTTCTTGAGAAGAGTGTGTATCTAGTGCTGTCCTAATACACATGCGCATGAGTGTAAAGTATTAATGCTTTAATCGTATTTATATTCTCAACAACAATATCTCAATGGCCGGCCCAGTTGATTAAGGCGTCTGCATAGACAGCAGAAGGTCCCGGGTTCGGAACCTGGTTGTGGGGAAACAACTTTTTTCACACACAGATTTAACAATCAAAGCGTATGTAATTATACTATAGCATTACTGCAAGATGGTTTAGATTTTACCTCTATTATATCATGATATTAATTTTTTTTAAATAGTATCTTTTGGAGATCCTGTCTTGTCGTCAATTGCTTTTAAGGAAAGGGCATGTCATTAATATCTGTTATTTGTCATGCATCAATGACTTTAATAGTGCTGTTCAATTGCACATGCCCATGGGCGTGATGCATTAAGTTGCTTTAATCGGATTTGAATTCCCAACAGAGCCTCAATTGGTTAAAACTTCTTCACAGACAGCAGAATATCCCGGGTTCGAATTCCGGTTGGGATAACATTTTTTTTTTGCACTCCAGATTATATTCCTCTTCTTTAACGTTCAAAATTTATATATAGGCCTAATTATATATACCATTAGCAAGACGGGTTAGAGTTAGGTCTATATATAATGGTAATAAGTGAAATGTTATTTGCGTAACGGATTTGCCACACCGAAAAGAGCAATTACAGGCGCGGATCCAGCGAAGACCCATAAGGGCCCGTGGAACCCCCACCCACAAGTTTTCGCCTCAGTCAATGGGGCTTCATCAGGTGAGTGAAGTGTTACACAAGATACAACAAATATACATGGACATCACAAAATGCACTCATATTCACAAGGATTTATACCATTACTTGTTACTTGATTATCTTCATATTTATTCACGATTTATCTATAAACCATTATGCTGTTACGGTGCTTAACAACTTTTAACACCTCCATTGTTCCAGGTAGACTAGCTTCTATTGCCAACTAATTTAATTTACTTCCTTGTTTCTGTATCCAATCAGATTTATTGTTTATCATATATTTTTATCTGTTATCGAATCATATCATTTTTTGATGTCCATGTATGCTATCTTAATTGTGTAAGACTTCACTCACCAGATGAAGCCCCATTGATTGGGGCGAAAGCTTGTGAAATAAATTCATCGTTAGTCAAAAAAGTGCTACCTTTTCATTTGTTTCATTGGTATACACTACTTTTTTTGTTTTATCTTATAATGATCACTACCGTTATAGTAATCCAACAGAGTTAACATTGGAATACGAAAACTTGATTTCACTATCATTAAGGCCCGATCATTGCACCACCACCTTCAGCAAATTACGCAACGCAATGAATAATAGTAAATCACTTGAAAGTAACTTTTGATTTGGAGATACACCTTCACTGGTGTTAATTACAGATGATAATAATACCATACCATGCGTTGTAATAAACGTTCTTGTTCGTGTTAACTTGTCAAGAAAGATCGTTTTCAACTTTAAGTTTGCGATTATGTGTTGTAGCTCTAGGTAACAAATGATTCTCCTTTTTAATTAGGCCTATTATTACTATTATGGTGTTAGCGCTTCCATATCAAATTACCACTGTCATTTTGCTTAAAAAAACAAGTGGGTCTATTTTCATATATACCTCGGTTATGGAATACAATACCATGGACTTAGGGGAATACGAAAATTAACACCCAGTAGGCCTACGAAAAAAGAGACCTAATTTCTTGTCACAGTCAAGTAACCACACTTAAGTGTCATTACACTTAGTGCATTTGAAAACAGGTAGGCCCGTTTCTAAATTAATTGAATTTATACAGGCACATTAATCGTTTCACATTCCATCATACTGAACTACTCCATATTTTTTTTTTCATTCTCAAGGGAAATAAGAACAATACACTATAGTTGTACAGTATTGTATTTTTGTTCCCAGGAGAATCGGTTGAAATTGTTTTTGACACAATGCCTACATTACATTAGAACAGGATGACGTGTTCAAAATTCAATTGTTGTCGCTACACTCGGTTTACCTGAATTCATGGGAACAGATAATGGCCTGTATTTTCACAAGTTTCTGTTTACCGCTGGTGCCTTGGTCTGTTGTCTCAGATACAATAGATTACAGTGTGCTTTGTAAACATTTATTTAATGGTCGCATCATCACATGGGAAATACGAATGGGGAAATGTTGTTGAACTAATGCCTAAACTAATGAACTAATTCATAAAACGGGCGAAAATTACTTTCTCAGGTTCTCAGCTAGACGCGACCCATCGAACCACAGTGGTAAAATAAATAATATCAATAGGCCTATAACTTTTAATTACTCATTCAACGGAACTACATAAGTTATAAAAGTAGGTGGAGCTGTATTATTTACGTATACTATATACAGATAATTATTTTATCTGCAATACCTTACAGATCGAAAAACATCAATGATTAACAGACGTTTTACTACAAAAATTTGTAAATTTGCTGCCAAAAAGATATAGACATAAACAAATTTAATTGGCGAGAAAAAAATTGTATTGTTATAATTTTCAGCTGTAAGCCAAGCGCAGCTAAATGAGCAAAAATAAAGCCGCAAGTTGTGAATTAACATGAAACGGCACCCACTCCCCCCGCACATCTCCTGGATACGCAAATTGTTGAAAACATATTATTGAAAAGGAAAGTATGATTTCCATGAAATCACTGATTGTATACCGCGTAGTTATCCCGCCGTTCGGGAAGCTCTCAGTTTTAGGGCTGGCCGCATGTCCCCTCTCCTCACAGGGTAGAGCCACTGTCCCGTCGGGGGAAAGACACAATACCCTTTCAAATCCCTAAATTGTCGGATTTACTGTGGCCTCGTCCATAGGCCCTCTCCCACATGCTCCCCGATTCGGCCGACCAATCACCGTTGGCAAAAACTGCGATGTCATGTAGGCCTATTGAATTGAAAAAATCGATAACTTGGATATGGAAACTTTGTTTTCATACAACTGTTAAAAAGTCGCATTTTTTTTCCATTCGATGCTCAACGCAGATGGCTTTTTACTGTCCATCTCCAAGCCATTCTAATCTGTCTTTACTCTTTGATGATTGACAGTTTTTAAATAGGTTTTACAATATTATATCATGTAATGCTATTTGAAACGTAATTTTGACTAAATTTGAATTTAGTTTTAAAAAGCAATTTCCTCTGATTTTCAACTGTCAACTTAGGCAGCGTCCAACTATGAGTTACAGTCGATGTGGGCATGAGGATATACACACTATGTCTCTAGATTTCTGATGGCCGTATTGTTTGTTTAATATCATATTTATTTTATTTATACACGTCATTTTTTTTAGTAATTATAAGTGCAATAAGTCAGCAAGATAATAATAATAATAATAATAATAATAATAATAATTATAACAAAAATAATAATAATAATTATAAAAATTATTATTTATTATTATTATTAAGATAATATTTTTATGTAACAAAATAATTTAATTATTTAACTGTTAACAACTAAGATTTTTTTTTTTTGTAAATGTTATTTTTTATAAGCAATTCTGATATTTGATTTGATTTGAATGATGGTTTTTATATGTTTTGAATATGCAATAAATACTTCAAATTGAAATTAAAGTATTGGTATTGGCTTTGCCAATGTATTAAACTCCCTTCACACCTATCATCACTGGATCTAAAAGAATCATTAAAGGAGGAACAGTAGCCATGAATAATTTTAAAACCAAGTGTGAGTGTTTTATCTGTGAATACATCTTCTCTACATAAAATGCCTAATACTATTTATCTGTATGAATATAAAGCGTCCCTTGCTTTTTTCTATAAATAATAATTCTAGTGGCCTTCCTCTGTAGGTCTACTCTACTCAGGCCTATGTTAGAATTGTCTTGACGTCGTGGCCCGTATCCCATACGGGCTTATTTACTGTCTCTAAAGGCGCGTCCGTATATATTTTTTTTCTGTACGAAACATTTACATAATGTAACTCCACTCGACTCGAAAATCTCATATTGCAGAATTCAGGAGGTCCAAAGGTCATCATTTAAAGATAAAACTTCAGATACGTTGCTGTTGATTTAAAAAAAAATACATTGATGACGTTACTATTCTAATAACTAATGAACAGTTTTATATTGTACATTTTCATTAACATATGATATTTGATTGAGCCGCAGGAGTAATAAAAAATGTTGGGCCTATTTGAACTTTAGTTACATATTGTGAAAAAATGTGTTTTTTAGTTTGGCCCCTAATTTCATACATTACATCATTTATATAATGCTATTTCATGAAGATCAGAGCGCTTTGCTTCTTTGTATTTTTTTTTAGTAATAAACTATATATGCTTATATATTATTATTAGTAGTATTTTTTAATGTTAATTATATTAAAAGGCATGTCATGTACAATTGTACCTTACTTTAAACTACAGCAAGTTTAGGTTACGGTATGTAATTTTGTATGTTACATTACTTTAGGTATTTTCTTTGAGTATCGCTGATATATAAATGGTATAGTTCAATTACATATTACCGTCATAATATTAGCCTACTGTCAATATATGAAAGACTCAATGTTCATTTTCATTTATTTAATAATGAATCGTATTCATGCTGTAGCCAGGATTTTTCAAACAGTGTGGCACAATATCAGGGTCGACCCAATTTACGCGTAAATTAAAAATGTGGACCTATTTTCTTAAATGTTAACCCATTATCTGGTCCCATTTCTTAAGACGACCCAATTTAGGCAAAATAGGCCTATGAGAAATCTGGACCAATTTTTTCTGCTTATATCTACTTCACCGCCTAACCTGTGGTCTAATTTTATAAACACAACAGCACAGATGAAAGGGATCAACTGAATCACAGGGCGAACGTTAGCCGCACATCGGTAACCAATAATGCTATTAATCTAATAAATATTTTTTTTTTTTTTGCTCAACTTACCTACGATAAAAAAAAA